CACCATCATATGTACAGTACAGTGTGTAATACACCATCAGATGTACAGTGTGTAATACACCATCAGATGTACAGTACAGTGTGTAATATACCATCAGATGTAAAGTATGTAATACACCATCATATGTACAGTATATAATACACCATCAGATGTACAGTACAGTGTGTAATACACCATCAGATGTACAGTATGTAATACACCATCATATGTACAGTACAGTGTGTAATACACCATCAGATGTACAGTATGTAATACACCATCAGATGTACAGTATGTAATACACCATCAGATGTACAGTACAGTGTGTAATACACCATCAGATGTACAGTATGTAATACACCATCATATGTACAGTACAGTGTGTAATACACCCTCACATGTACAGTGTGTAATACACCATCAGATGTACAGTATGTAATACACCATCATATGTACAGTACAGTGTGTAATACACCATCAGATGTACAGTATGTAATACACCATCAGATGTACAGTATGTAATACACCATCAGATGTATAGTACAGTGTGTAATACACCATCAGATGTAAATTATGTAATACACCATCATATGCACAGTATGTAATACACCATCAGATGTACAGTACAGTGTGTAATACACCATCAGATGTACAGTAAGTAATACACCATCAGATGTACAGTATGTAATACACCATCAGCTGTACAGTGTGCAAGGGCGCCGTAAGGGGGTGAAAAGTTAGGACGATTCTAAGGGCCCGTGACTGACAGGGGCCCAAACTATTTTAGAACATTAAGAAAAAGATGTTTAAGTAACCAATGTGATTATCTTTTCATGGGGCCCATAATTCCTGGCGGCGCCCCTGACAGTGTGTAATACACCATCAAGTAGCTAAGGCAAATATGATCAATAGGTAACTAGTTAAAACTTCATCGACATTACTGGTTAACTACATATGACCTAAGATATTTAAAATAGTGTGACCTGGAGAATTTAATGAATTGTATTTGTTTAACTAGAAGACAATTTTAGCCTCACTTCTAAACTAGGTACCTCTTTAATTAGTGAACATTTAATTAAATAGTTGAAAGATAATGTGAAAAACTAGTCAACTAGTAAAACCAAAAAAAGCTTCAACTGGGTAACTGGGACATATTTTGGCTTACTTTTACTTATAATTGTATCTTACTGTATATAAAGGATTATTTCCTTCAATGTGTCCCCTTCACATAACTTTGCCTCTCAGAAAGTTTTTGGAATATATCTATATAATCTGCAGTGGATTTTAAGACACCAGAGGGGCCTGTCAGCTTCCTGTCAGTAAGAACTATGCCTATCATCCCAAGCAGAGTATAACACTGTAGCACTATTTAAAACATGCTTTACCTTTCTCCAATGGAAGCTTTGATGAGCACTGAGATGAACATGCATACATTTTGAAACATTTTTCAGTAAAAAACGTACATACACTCCTGGATCAGCACCAAAGGCCAATTCCACAAAACCATGAACGTAGTGTAGGATTTAGAAGCTAAAGAGTCAGATATTTCGAACTTGAGAGCAGAAAAGTAGCTACAAGAAAAAAAATTTTTACTCACATTCAACATAAATGCAAATAAAAGCATATGAGGCTAGATGTGTAAATAGTAAAGTGCCTTATCAACTTAATGATATATATCACTGTTGTGTTCCCAGCTTGTTCGACAATGGAGGTAAAGTAATTCAAATCATCAACCTCTCTCTTGGAATGAATTATTATTGATAAATGCTCGTGGATTTTACAAGAATACATAGAAGTTTGGATAGAATAATAAAAAATCAAGATCAACTAAGATATGTCAGTTCAGAAATAAGGGGGAGATAAGCAGAGCAGAAAACAAATTGGTTTGAAACAATGAAATTACTGCTCCACTTTTTGCCCATCCACCGTCTGCGTGTCAGCCTGCAGTGCAACCGAGCTTACGTTCTCCGGTTATTCTTTATTATTGTTGTCATTGGTACACCGCACATCTGCCTGATCATGTCGACTTCCCATTGGTTGTCTTTCGCAGTACTTCCGTCCGTTTGGCCAGTTTGATTGGTCGACGCCGCTCTCTTTTCCTCTTCTTCCCGGTGGTGGGTCTGAGCCGCTGTGTCCCGGGTCTGGCATGTTCTTAGCCAAATTCTCCACGGTGTAAAATTGGACCCCCCCCCCCCTTTTCACAAAACCAAAAAAAAACATTAAATTCCCCCCCGGCTCTGAAGATGGCGGTGGTTAGCGGGATGTCGGGGTCTGTAGCCCGACTGGAGGGCCGAGAATTCGAGTATCTGATGAAGAAAAGGTCGGTGACCATCGGCCGGAACTCTTCGCAGGGTTCGGTGGACGTCAGCATGGGACACTCCAGCTTCATCTCCCGGCGGCACATCGAGATATTCACCGCGGGAGAAGACGGCACCGGCACGGGGGAGTTCTATCTGCGGTGCCTCGGGAAAAACGGGGTGTTTGTTGATGGGGTGTTCCAAAGGAGAGGGGCGCCTCCTCTCCAGCTCCCCCGAATGTAAGATCCCAGGCTGGGTTGCTTCACGGCACAAATCTGCGGGTCAGCGGCTCGTGTGTTGTTGTTGATGTTGTTGTTGTGTTGCAGCGTGGTGCACGTGCTGTGTGGAGAGTGCGTGCTGCTGGATGGACACACAGCTCCATGCCGGATCTCCCAGATAACCTAAACCTGATTCATGGTCCTTATGTCGAGAGTTTACAAACATGGCAGCAACATAATGCTAGTTAAACTGATGCATGCATCTTGGTGGAACATGAGTTACCCACACACAGAGTAGTGGGGATGTTTGATTACAGAGTGATAGAACATCATGTTTGTGTGTTAGCAGAGTGCATCGGTATCAGCATGGCCTCATGTGTGTCTGTGTTTACCCCAAAAGCCCCCCCTACACTGTTGTACTTCTGGTAACTAATTTCACATTTTATCTTCATATGTATTTTGGTATGATATGGCAATGTTGTCGCCATCCTACACCATAGTGGTAATTTCTGGTCCATATTTAGACTGAGTCTGGGTCTCGGTAGACCTCCTCGGCCTGCTTGTTGCCAGGCAGGAAGTTGTCCAATTGGCTCATTGGCACTGTGATAAACATTGCCTTTCTGATGTTCAAATTTGGACAAATATCAATAGTAATTTAAATGGAAATTGTCTGGACATTAATCACACACTTGATGTTCTTTGTTTGTGCTTTTCTTTGGTTCCCAGGTGTTGTTTCCGGTTTCCCAGCACAACTATAAAGATCACGTTCACAGTCCTATCCAATGAAAGGAAGGAGCCCAGGAACGTGCCAGAATCACCAGTTAAACCTATCCAACCCCAAATCTCCCCACTGACCATCAACATTCCTGACAACATTGCCCACCTCATAAGCCCCCAGCCTTCCCCAACGGGCACCCTCAGGTGGGAGACCTCTGTTTCTCTTCTGTGCAATGCTCAGAGCACGTAGAAGTTTACAACAATATCATATACTAAATGTTTTTTATTTGATTTCTCAGTGCGGCAAACTCCTGTCCATCAAGTCCACGGGGAGCGGGCTTCTCCAGCTACAGGCCGAGCCGTGTTCTGGCCTCGGACTTGATAGGCGACAACTCCCAATCAGAAAATGACAAGGAGGCCTCCGGTGGAGACAGCCCAAAGGTGAGAGGGCGAGGAAACTCTTAGTGTGTCTGCTTCATTTTCAAATATATTTTAGGGGATATATATTTTTTTTTACGAAAGGGGCTGCGGGACAGAATGCCTGGTTACTCAATAAAAATGCTCACAACAACACAGACTTTGGAGTAGAGGACAGTGGACTGATTCTGTGTTTGTGTTTTGGTCTAACAGGAACCTGGCTGACCTTACATTAACCAATCACATCTCCCCCTACCAGCACATGATGCAAAACTTTCTTTAATTTTCCACAGGACGACTCCAAACCTCCATATTCGTATGCACAGCTGATAGTCCAAGCTATCACTATGGCCGCAGATAAACAGCTGACTCTGAATGGAATATACACCCACATCACCAAGAACTACCCCTACTACAGAACAGCTGATAAAGGCTGGCAGGTCAGACTCTTCACTCTGCATGTCTAAGGTCGTAATGTTCCTTTCTTTAAAGAGCAACTTCCAGGTTAAAGACACCTGTGAATAAATGTGTAGGAAAATGATGAATACACTAGATTTTCAAAAAAATATACAGAAATATACACTACAGTGACATCTGGCGTCGTTTTTGTAAGAAATGTTCACTTCCGCATAAAAAAACCTCGGCACTTGACCTCCCGCGTGTGACGTAACATGGGGGAAACAAGGGGGAGAGCGGCCGGTGTAACGTATTAATAAACATGGATCCCAATGCTAGTTTCGACACAGAAGACACAGAAGAA